TAAAATTAGTACTGTGCCACGTATTGGGATACAAAGAATTAGAAAACTATGGTCACAGCCTTTAAAAGTTTAAAATATATGCAACCAGGAAGTTATATAAAATCCAACTAGGAAAAGTTCATTAGAGCATAAAACAGCATTAGAATGGGGCACCCAGGAGTGCCTGGGTGGCTCAGTCTGTTAAGCATCTGACTTTGGCTCAGATCATGATCTTGCAGTTCGTGAGTTCAAGCCCCGCATCAAGCTCTGTGTGGACAGCTCAGAGCGTGGAGTCTGCGTCAGATTCTCTGCCTCCCTCCGTCTCTGCTCCTCCCCCACTTACAATCTGTCTCCCTCTCTCTCAAAATAAATAAATATTAAAAAAATTAAAAAAACAAAAAAGAACGGGGCACCTGGGTGGCTTAGTCAGTTAAGCACCTGACTCTTGACTTTGATTCAGGTCATCATCTCCTGGTCTGTGAGTTCAAGCCCTGCGTGGGGCTCTGTGCTCACAGCGTGGACCCTGCTTGGGATTCTGTTTCTCCTTCTCTGTCTGCCTCTCCCCTGCTCATGCTCTCTCTCTCCCTCTCAAAAATAATAAACATTAAAAAACAACAGCATTAGAATGCTAGCAAAAATATGATGTTATGCAAAAGATAATATAGAATGAGAAAATGACCGAATTTCCAAAACAGGAAAAGCCAATGAAGACCAGGAAGTCTTCAAAAAGAGGGGGTGGTGCTAACTGTGACACAGCTGGAGAAATAACATCTATGACATGATTTTGGTGATTAAGACACAAGTTTATGAAGGTCTGGACTAGGATAATAGCACAGGCAGCAAATTTAAAGGCATGGATCTGAGATTCATTTTGAAGACAGCGTCAGCTAGTCTCATGACTAACTGGATTGAGGGACAGAGAGAACGTGGCAACTTCCACCTACATACTAGGCTTGAGATGGCTGACGCTCCAGCTTGAAGACTAGGCTGAGTCTGGCTAACCACTGATAACTACAAGTGGCCTGAGGTGGAGACTAGTAGTGCCCAGCACTGGGCCACCAAGGAAGAGAAAAATGTGTTATTATGCAAAAGATCCAACAGCTAAGACTGGTACTCAGAAAGATGCCAGTGCCTCCAGCAATAGCACAGGTACCAAAAAGAGCTGAAAGAAATGATTTCTTAGGGCCAGAAAGATATTGGTGCAATTCATCAGGACACAAGAATCACCTAGAGGAGTCAGTTTGGGAATGAAAGTTGACGAACAAGCTAGTTATACAGAAGCTGAGGTTCAGGTAAGGGGTTGGGGGGAAGCATCCACAGCCTTATGAGCTGCTGAACGTGAAGAACTCTTATCATCAAAAAAGGACAGTCGAAACCAATGAGAACAAATGAATTTCTTTTCCCCTTGGGAAAAAACAAAACTACAGCTTAGAGGAGAGATGGTGAAAAAGATGCAGAAGTCAAGAGAGGGGAGTTTGAAGGAATGGCCTGAACAGAATCAGAGGAAACAGAGTGGTTGAGGAGATCTTTCATGTATAAAGCTTTTAAGACAGAAAAATAAAGCTTTCAGAGTACATGTGCTCAACCAAATGGACAGAACAGTCCCAAACATGAAGAATGACACCTGGCTTTATGTTATAAATTGAAGGATAATGTAGAAAGAACAAGCCACATGACATAATCCTACCATAAAAGCATTAAAGCATGACTCAGAGATTTAACCCACAGAAAGTTATTAATAGGTCCTCCCTGTTTGCAAAATAGTACAAATATGACATGCCACCCAAAACAAAAAGACCTTTATTCTCCCTCTCTACCTTGCTTTTTTAAAAACATGGATTAAAACAAAAGTCTTTAACGATTTCAATGTCAATTTCAACCCACATCTAACAGTGAATAATCAGGCTCAATGACCAATCATTTTAAACTTTGCTTTGTTGGAACTTATGGAATGTATTCCATTTCTTTTCTTTTCTTTTTTTTTTTTTTTTAACTTGAAAGGCTTTCAAGTTTGAAAGCTTGGTAACAGTTGGTGCTACCACATTCCAGAGATCTGTTATTAAGTGACAGCCCCTCACCCCTTCTTTTTTAACATTCTACTGTCATTATAGTTTTTGCGAAGCACAGTTTAAAGGTGGTTGCTCAGGTGTGCCCTTTGATTTTTAGCACTTAAGATTTTTAAAAATCCTTATATATTGTAAGGCATAATTTAAGTTCGATGCTAGGTTTTAGAGGACTCTTACAAACGTATGTATGTGTGCGCACATGTATGTTTACGGGTAGATTTATGAAGGCTGAAGAGAGTCTCTCGAGATTTAGTTGCTGCTATGATGGCTTAAGTGGAAAAAAATTAGGCGAAAAGTCGCTGTTTACAATCTAGAAAGAAAATGCAATTAATGCCAATAAAAAATAAAAGGACTGATATATTTCATTAAATATAGGACTAATACACTTCATTAAAATTATGATTTTCAACAACAAAAAGATCAGAATTAAGGAAGCCATGATATTTATTGAACACGGAAGGGATAAGAAGAAAAACTATGTATGTTATGTGCTACCTCACCAAAAAAGTCAAGTTGTAGTAACAGGATAATACAATCATCTGAAAATGACTTTCACCTATATCATATAATCTAAGGAGCATGATGGGTCAGACTCTTAGCAAATACCTTTTCCTGCCTATCCCTGTATCATTGTTCTACAGTCTCTGCCTCTTCTATCTTCCGGGATAGCGCCTCTACATCCTCTAGTGGGAATCTCCAGTGGCACGTGATACCCTTTCAATGCCACCTCCTATTAAAATTGCTGTGGGTTTATCCCCCGTCCCCCTACACTACAACTAGCCCTGGAATGTTGGGTCTTAATCTCTCCTTGTCTTTTGAACACAGTAACTGGCAAATAAGGTTTTTGAATTTATAAATTAATGAGTTGTGTTCTGTCCTGTGGATATGAATTAAAATTGGGTCTACATCTTAAGAAAAAAATTGAGGGTCGCCTGGGTGGCTCAGTCGGTTGGGCGGCCGACTTCGGCTCAGGTCATGATCTCACGGTCCGTGAGTTCAAGCCCCGCATCGGGCTCTGGGCTGATAGCTCAGAGCCTGGAGCCTGTTTCGGATTCTGTGTCTCACTCTCTCTCTGACCCTCCCCTGCTCATGCTCTGTCTTTCTCTGTCTCAAAAATAAATAAATGTTAAAAAAAAAAAAGAAAAGAAAAAAAAAGAAAAAAAAAGGAAAAAAATTGAGTCACTCAATATACAAAGCTAGGCAACTTGCAGAGTGTGCAGCCCAAAGCTATACATCTTACAACTTCATAGAATAAGAAGTGAAATCATTTTTGTTTGGCCAGCATGTTCATGCTTTCCACAAAAAAACTAATAGTGCTTGGCTCTGAAACACACACTCAAACAGAAAGATATGAGTTAATGTGTAAAAGCTACTTCGCAATGGGATTTAAATCGTTAACAGAGTAGTCTCCTGACACTATGGAGCTACTTCTCACACAGAAAGAAATCCACATTGCAAGTCTAAGGAGAGATTTGATAGGGTGAGACCTGACCCAGCTGGAGCAGGCAGAGACGGGAGAGGGTTCAAGTGCTAACCCTTGGATGGATCCAAACACAGAGTGCAATACCAGCCATCCCAGAGCAGTGGGCAGTTTCTTCTTTTTGCTTATCTGGAGTCTCTTTCTGCTTCGGTGGCTCTATTTCCTCTGTTCTGATCCACTTGTCAAGCCGACCTGAATCAGGGAGTGGTGGGCATCGCTCGCAGGAGGAAGATACCCAGGCTGCAGAGTGCTTCTGGGAAAGCACGAGCCTGATGGCCACACACATCCCTGCCCTCCAGAAACCCACCAGCCTGCAGGAAGCCTATCAGGGACAGGGCACTTCAAGCCTGGGTGGAAGTTGAGGCACAGAAAAGCAGCAGAGCTCGTTCCCTCCCACCACCTTGCTGAAATCTGTGTTGAAAAGACCTTGGCAGGAGAACAACTGACCTCACATGACCATTATGGCAAGGGAGAGAAAGAATTAAATAATGTCAACAGACTTGAAAATCAGCTTCCAGTGAATCTCCCAAATTTGGGTTTGTGAATAAGAACGATGGAAAAGATGGGGGACAGGTGCTGGGTTCTTCTCCAACTGAAACATGAACTCTTACAAAATGCAGTGGAACTCTAGAAAAGTCATGGGTCACCTCCTGGAAACATGGTGGCAACCTCAGTCAGTTCTAGTTTTAAATTAGAGACATTCTGGAAACACTGAGATGCACTGACAGGCATTTCATCTTTCCAAGGGACATAAAGACAGTATCCTGTTTTAGCAGTTTTGCATAAATGGGCATCAAAGTAAAGGGGGAGTGGGCACTGGCATCCTTGCTCAAAGTTCTGAGAGACAATAGCGCTTTATCTTGGCTTCCTGGTAAGGCAGTCATCAGGATGCAGCTCTCCGGGTGATTACGTGGCAGCACCATAGCTGCTAACCTTTCACAACGACCTTAGGTAACAAGCGAAAAATCAGACAGCTCAGCAGGAGGCTTTGCCTTTTCCTGGCAGCGTGCTGGTAGCCTCTGTCTATAGATTCAACAGCAGCAGTTTTTTCACACGGAAAGCAGGAAGTGCCCTGGCAGTGCGTGTGCTCGTGACTGCTCACATAAAAAAGAACCATAAGCTTACTGTCCTTGGTTTGTTTGCTTTTTTTTTTACGCTGTAAAATGTAAGCTGAGCCCTCACGCCTCTTATAATTACATTCTCTCAGGTGCCACATGAAACCGTGATTATGAGAAACAAAGTGAAAACGACCTCAATCCTGGCCTGGCCTTTACTGCTGCTTACAGTTTAGCCCGATGTTTCCATCACATACTAAGTTGTGTTTCACGTCCCTCTGTACAACTCGTAAAGACACGCATGGTTGTTACAGTGATGGCCACTGGCTCAACGGGAAGCGTCCCTGAGCCCGGAGGTGAAAAGCAACATCTGCACAGCGGCGTCCCCGCAGGACCGGACGGGGGCTGGGGGATGGATACCTAGCTGCTTCTCCCGCTCCTCGCGCCGCTCCCGGGCCAGCCGCTGCCGGTCGTCAACCCGCAGCACGGGAGGAGGGTCTGAAAAGGAGAGCAAACACGTTAGTAGAAGAGCAGATTTTCTGATACTGCTAAATAGCTTTCGGAACAGTAAATTCGGTGGATAAAACATCACGACGTCTTAACAACAATTACCATAGATGGCTATAGTTCCGGTGATACACTTTATTATTACATCGTTTTTCTGAGAACTTCCAAGAATTGATATACTCCAAGATATACTCTCTTATGTAATGTCTTTTTCTTCTGTTCAAAGACATTACATAAGAGAATAGGATTACATATCCTAAGACTTCTCACCACAAGGAGAAAAAAAAAAAAACAAACACCTTTTTTTCCCACCCCCATATCTATAGGAGATGATGGATGTTAACTGACCTGACTGGGGTGGGTGATCATTTCACAATATAGGTTAAGTCACATCATTATGCCACACACCTTCGATGTACGGGGTGGTGTATGTCAGTTCTACCTCCACAAAAATGGGGGAAAAGTTTTAAAAAGAAAAAAAGACACACAGCCAAAAAACAAAAAAACCATTATGTAAAAACATGACATAACTGTAGCCTTTTGCCTGTTTCTATCCAACAATATATATGATGCTTCGTTGTTCCTAAGCTAGTGAGCTTCTATCATTTTTATGCTTTAAGAAGGCTGTTCCTCAACAGCAAACAGAATCCTAAGTGAATTTCTACTGAATATAGTATTCAGTGAATACTGATAGATGTTCACCAGTTGGATGTAAGAAGCCCAGCTTTGAAGTCACACACCCAAGAGTTCACTTCCTGTTCTGTGTCTCACTCAATATGTAAATTTGGCTGAGATACCTACCTCTCTACGTCTCAAGTTATGCAGGACATGGGTTTCATGGATTTTTATTTATTACCTATAAAATGGAATAAAAATAGAACCTATCTGACATCACTGTAAGAATTCAATGAAATACTTGAAATGGTGTTAGTATGGTGCCTTGCCCACAAGCTTCAGTAAATTAATTCACTCACTGAACACATGCTGAACATCAACTATGCACCAGGCACTGTTCTATGTGCTGAAAAGAAAGCAGTCAGGAAAACAAAAAGCAAAAAACAAAAATCTCTGCCCTCATGGGAACTGCATTCTACTCAGGGAAACTTGATAACAAGGATAAAAAAGAGATAGAGCATGAGGGGTGCCTGGGTGGCTCAGTCAGTTAAGTGTCTGACTTTGGCTCAGGTCATGATCTCATGGTCTGTGGGTTTGAGCCCTGCATCTGGCTCTGTGCTGACAGCTTGGAGCCTGGAGCCTACTTCGGATTCTGTGTCTCCCTCTCTCTCTGTTCGTCCCCTGCTTGCACTGTCTCTCTTTCTTTCTCTCAAAAATAAAGATTTTAAAAAATTAAAAGAAAAGAGATACAGAATGAAAACAAGGGAAAAATATATTGAATGTTGCATTGAGATAAATGTTAAGGAGACAAGAAGAAAGGGGACTGTGATATGGCAGGAAGGGTATGTTTAAGCATTTTAGACAAGAGATCGTAACTTTCACGTGTAGAGTCCTGATGGAAGGGACAGCTAGCTGTGCAGGTGTTCTAGGAGGTGGAAAGCAGGCACAAAGACACTGTGGCCACAAGTACCTAATGTGTGTAAGAAATGGGGAGATCGAAGAGCCTGGAATGGAGCGAGATCAGAGAGCACTGTGGCCAGATACGCAAGGGCCAAGGCACAGGGCTCGTTGGTCCTGGCAGGGACTCTGGATTGTACTTGGAGTGAGACGCTGCTGGGAGCTTCCCAGCAGAGACCTACACTAACAGGCTCACTTTGGTACTATATAAAAAAGCAAAATTATAATAACAATGCTGATGAGAATAATGACCTTAAAATCAGGTTTATTTTCTCTTCACTTAAAATGATGTATTTTTTTAAGATCTCATGTTAAAAATAGAAGCTTACTGGTGCAATACTGTAGACAGCATGGTAGCACTTCATCAACAAATTTAAAGGCTTTATATCCCACAGGCCTCCTAAATGGCACAGAATTTGCACATTTAGGGGAAATAAAAACTGTACAAAGACCCCTTGGGAGCCTGCATAAACCTGGCAGTGAGAATCATGAGCAAGACTAAGTGATGACATTTTACACCCTTGTTGTTTTAAAGTATGGTTTTTAAAAACTGGTAAAAGGACCCCGCAGTAGGTCCTACTTATTATTATAATGACTTATCAGATTTGCTTATTATTTATGAGATTTCAAACATTTTTTATATAAGAAAATATTGCCCCTGGCCCCAAAAGGTTTACTTCTGAAGTTTGAAAATGGGCATGTGAGCTCCTGCTCAGGCACTTTGTTAAGGACCACACACAGGGGTGTTTTACTGTCATTTGTTTTTGGTGAAAAGAAATGACAGCACGACAAATGGCATTTTGAAAAAAAGAGCTGTCTAAGCACAAGTCAAAGTGAAGTTAGATCTCTAATGATTAACTCACCACTTTAGTAATATTCCTTAAACAATGAGGTGTACCTGTTCATAAATATAACTGTAAAACTCAAAAATCAACTTTACTAAAAAAAGACGTGTAAGCACATTACAGAAAGTCTATAAAAAAGAATTTAACTACTTTGAATTGCATTTATAATTCTGTCACAGGCAATCTACGATATGAAGGATGTGATGTTGCTAGCTTACTTTCAAGTACGTGCAAATTTCATGCAAAATTTAAAAAAAATTTTGAAAGAAGATTTTAATAACACCATATGGGACATGCACTTACCCTTATGTACCCTCTTCTACCCAAACCAATTCTGAGAGCCCCCAATCAATAACTGGTTATCAATATAACCCAATTATGAACTGTAATACTTGCCTTTTAGATACATTTTTGGAAAACAGCAGTGTGAGAGGTGCTTTTTTTTTTGCAAGAGGTGGTTTCTATACTCTCATTTCATATGAAGATTATGCTCCTCACATGTAACAAACTGCATCCTGCCTGATCACACAATTTATAAGAAACAAGGTCGTATACGGAGTTGCACAAATATACCAGTCAATCCCTATAAATAAGGCCAATGCTTACAAGTGCAATGATTCCCACTGATCTTTGAGATCAGGGCTGAAATGATAATCACTATTCAGTAGGGGATCAGATTTGAGGAAGTAAAGAAGTAAGGCATAGTGATTGTGATATGCTAGATGATTCTGGTTGGTTTAGGAACCTGGGATTAGCAAATGTGAAATTGTAGAGGGAAAAAGGCATTCAGTTTAAACTGTTTCCATCCTTTTGATTACATCAAGAGAGAGTCACTTTGGTGCTAGGATGCCAATAATACTTATGGCAGATAAAAGATGGCTATGAACGGGGGTGGGGAGGAACAGAGCCTTGTTGGTTTTGTTCACGGCTTATTCCCAATCCCAGAACTACACCTGGCAGAAAGGAGAACATTCAGTAAGTATTGAACGAATGAGCAAACAACCTTGGCTAATCTTCAGAGCCTTTAAACTTCCACAAACACGCACCAATAGGGGCAAACAAACAGCTATCTTGTATTTGATAACAGACCTAAAAAAAATATAAATGCTAGCAGTTATAGTTTTAATAACCAAAAACTGATAAAAAAATATCTTTAAAGATAGATTTCCAAAAAGGACAACATCTAATCGAATAATTCTAAGTAAATAGTGCATTTTCTGTGATTCTTTGTCTCCCTCTCATCTCCATCCTCCTATCACTTTTCCCGGGAACGAAATCACGGTACAGAAAGTAAATGAATAGCATGAACTTTCTCACTGCTTCCTGATTGACCTAACGTGGTCAGAAGGCAAAATGGTAAGAGCGACAGAGTGTCCGTGTGAGTCCGCTCGCAGAAAGGAGTGCTCTGCGTCCAACCTCCTGCCTGTGAGGACTCAAGAGCGGGGTGTCCGCCCACACTGGGGCACTCTTACGTGTGACAGGGAGTGCTGTGGATATCCTGTCTTCGATGACATGTAGAAGCCTGGACCACAAACTAGAACTCAGTGACTCTCGCAGATCAAGAAAGTCAACTCGCTCTGACAAGGCTTTCTCAAGAGCTTTGACTTCCATCTGAACAACTACTGTTTACACGGTAGATAACTTCATCAGGGCTTGCATTTTACAAAGCTCTTTCATACACATTATTGTTTCATTCTTCACACTAGCTCCATGAGTTAGCAGAGCATGTGTTCATTCAACGACGAGTTCTTAGGCCTATTTTCCAAATGAGAAAGTGGAGGGAAACGTCTGTGAAAAGGAAGGCGGCACAGCAAAGTGTTGGAGCTAGTTCTTAAAGCCACATCCCTCACTCAGTCCGTGCCCTTGAGCACATCATGGCACCAGGAGAGTCATTACAATGGCAGGATGTAGCAGCCAGGGAAGGCCTGAAAGATTCCAAGGCCTGCATTCCTCTATGAGGGAAATGATTTATAAACAGTAATGAAATTTTTAGTGGTTCTTTTAAAGACTTGTAGTGGAGGGTGATAAAGGGATAGGAATTAAGAGGAATTTTTAATGAACTTGAGTTTCTGCTTTTCTCAGGTATGTATAGTGCATTAAGAGACTACAATGTTCTCTTCTGATTAGGTCATACTCTGGATCGTTTGGAGGCAGCTGATGGAGTCCTGAAGAGCCAGCTCCCACTTTGTAGACATGGACAGATCCATGACTTTACAAATGGTCTCTTTTGGTCTGGGTCCAAGTATTCACAGCTGAGAATACCGGTCTTTTCTGGAGAACACGAGACATTGTGAGCTCACACTTATAAACCACAAGCGCCTTCCATACATGTTTTAAAGATAAAATATTAACAATCTGAATGTTATTAACATCAAAGAGATGTTCTAGACTTTTCCAATGAATTTTAAGTATCAGAAGGTAAAGGAGGGAAAGACATTTAACTAAAATTTACTGAAATAAAAGAGACTCTGAGAAATCATTTGGTCAGGATGCCCATATCAGGTGAGAGCAATACTCAAAATATCCCAAAATTTAGCACATACTTTACTGTTTTTTCAAGTTCTGGAGAATGAAAATTAATAAACTGCTCTAGACAGACATTCCCATGACTTGTATCCCATAAATTAAAGGTTTTACTCAAGCCTCACCATCCAACATGAAATCTCTTATATCATCCTTTGGAGATACTAAAGAAAATAACATGGTGGTTTTAAAAATGAGACCCATTGACGAACCTCTGCTTATCTGTATATACAAGAAAGCAGACACATGATGCTCAAAAGGTCTAATCTGAATGGTCAGAGTGGGGGGGATGGGCAAAATGGGCAAGGGGAGTGGGAGATACAGGCTTCCAGTTACAGACGGAAGAAGTCGCAGGGATAAAAGGGAATATAATCAATGATACTGTAACAGTGTTGTATGGTAACAGACGGTAGCTACACTTGTGAGTATAGTGTGACTAGTAGAGTTTTCCAATCACTATGTGATACACCTGAAACTAATGTAACACTGTGTGTCAACTATACTAAAGAAAAAAAAAAGATAACATGAAATGAAATGTCTCCCTCATTTAACTTGACTTTAGCAATATAATTTTTTTTTAACGTTTATTTATTTTTGAGACAGAGAGAGACAGAGCATGAATGGGGGAGGGTCAGAAAGAGAGGGAGACACAGAATCTGAAGCAGGCTCCAGGCTGTGAGCTGTCAGCACAGAGCCCGACGCGGGGCTCGAACTCAGGGACCA